TAAATTGAAATATGTTTCAAACAAAAGTTGTGTGGTTTCAAGGGGACTATAAGATGATGTCATTAATTTGACCTTGAAGAGTTACTTGAAGATCACGTGAAGATCACCTCCAACTTTTTAAATGGGACACCCTATATACTTTTACATATTTTTGTAGCTTGCCTCAATAGCTTTCCAAAACACTATAATAAAGTATTTTTTCATTGAGTACTTTTCGAGCTATGAGGCTTAAAATAATATGTTAATTTCACATAAACCATAAAATATCTAGTAAAATATTCATTTTTCGGTTATCTTACCTTAATACATTTATGCACAAAATAATGTGAGAAATCGATTGGTGTAAAGAAAAACAATTGTTTCAGAGAAAAAATATGTAATTTGCAATTAATAATTACATATTTTTTCTTAAAAATAACTATATAAAAATAATTATATAATTATTATAGGAAAGAACAGCGTAAAACTGAAGGGAAAGTTGTTAATGAACATCCCAGCTCCACTGAACATTCCATTAATACTAATGTAGAAGTGGCAGTCAGCGCGATAACAACATCAGCTGTTTCTACCACTGAAACTACTGTTTCGGGAGATGCATCACTTGCAACGTCTTCGACCACGACAACAAATATAACGAATACAGATCGTGATTATGTTTCGATGGAAACGAAACCGCAACTCACTCCAATAACTATGGTGAAAAAGACATCTACTATTGGAGGGAAACCGGTTGCTATAGTTAAAACAAATGCCACCCAAAGTCTGCTACAATCAAATCAGCATAATTTTCCGCATCATCAAATTCAAGTATCTACATCCGCTGGTCTGCAAACTATTCGTCTGGCCGGACACTCTGTATTGCAATCTGCACAACAACCTATTGCAGCCAGCAGTAGTTCTAATGTAACGAACGGAACTACAACGAATTTGACGACAATATTGCCATGTACAAAAATGCAAAATCAGCAACAGCAACCAACTATAGTAACGAATCAAGCAGGGAAAAGTATTTTACAGACGACTAATATAAAGCAACAGCAATCGCAACAACAACCACATGTATTACCAGGCAAAACTCTTTTAGCATCACAGATTAAATTAGTTAGTTCAAGTCAAATTAAGTCATTACTAACAGGACATAGTCTTCAGGGCCAGACTATATTTATCAAACAATCTTCATCATCAAACAATCAATCACAACAGCAGCAACAACAATTAAAGGTATCTTTGCAAATAAATTTCGCTATTATATTATTTGATTTGATTTTAATTTGATTTTAATATTAGCAACAACAACAACAACTTCAACAACAACGTGCTGTAGCTAGTCAACAGCAACCTATACAGCAGACTCCGGGGATGCAACGTATAATCGCGCAAATCGGAGGAAAGCCGATTGCCGTGCAAATACAACAATCGCCCCATCAACAACAGCAGCAACAGCAGAAGATATTGGCGAAAGTTTTAACAAATAGCAGTGGAGGACAGATTATCTCTGTCGAAAGTTTGCTCGCCCAGAAAGGATTGAAATTGGCTACTACTGGTCATGCAAATCAACTTAATAGGCAAGGCAAACAAGTTATACAAGCTCAGTATCAGGTAAATACGCTTTACATATTACATGCACACGTGCACATTTTATATAAAACATTGTTTAAAGTTAATTTATAGAATTGGTAATTTTTAATAACTCAAACAAAAAGTATATAAAATGAAAGATTAAATTCACGTGCTTGTCTAAAATATTATTACACAAGAAAGGGATTCTGTACATTTCTCCAAAAAATAATTATATAAAAAAGTATTTAATACATTATTAAATGCTTAATTCACTTCTACAGAAATAATGATGTGAAGAGAATGCGCCACTTAGGAATAAAAATTATACGCACTATAAAATTTAATCCTTTTATTATATGCATACCATATTTTAATATTAAAATTGTTGTCTAATAATAACACATAATATGATTATGTATTTTACTAAGGCATTTATGTATATTTTTTAATATATGCTTATATATAATATAGGCAACTGATATAAAACACACATATTATATATACATATGCTTATGTATATATAAATAAATGTATATATAAATAAATAAATTTACGTAACTACAGATATTTTTAGATAAAGAATTACTTGAAACATAACATGTATTAAAGATAACAATTAAAAAAGTAATTAAGAATAAACAAAAAAATTTATCATTAGAAGATACATTAAATCAATTTAATTTATTTAATGTATCTTGTAGTTATGTGTCTATATAAGTTGGCACACATACAAGCAGATTAAAAAATATATATACAAATGGCTTATTAAAATACACAATCATATTGTGCATTACTTTTATGTATTATTGCATAATAATTTTAATATTAAATCTTAATAAAAGAATTAGATTTCATAATATATATAATTTTTCTTCTAAATAAATTATTGATTAAATTGATTAATAACTCGATTAGCCATTGAAATCCCATCTTAAGTATTCATAGCTTAATAGTTCGCGTATAGAGATAGGCAGCCTTGTTACTGTTGCGCATAACTTTTTCCACGTCTTGATGCCAAACACTGTATTTCTTGATATCAAATTTATTTATTGACAGGAACAAAATAATTTTGATAATAGAAAACTGCAATATTATACAAATGTTAGAAAGATATAATGTTTGTAATGATACACTATTACACTAACAACGAAAATAATATAACAATAGTAAACAAAAAAGAGGGCAGTAAAATTAGATAAAATATATTAAAATTTGAAAATTTGATAATCTTTGGAAATAAAAAAAGATTTATTTATAACAAATATTAGGTCTAAAAAAACAATTACATTTGACATTCTTTCGTATTATTGAAGATAGAAAAATATTAAAATAGAGGTTTATGAAGAATTAAAAAATTAAAATTGAACAAGAATTTATAACATTTATATATATTTGTTGATTCTAATCAATAGAATATTTTTTTATAATGCTCAATATTTGTAGGTGGTATCACAAGCGCAAGCATCATCTAGTCCATCAAAAATAATAACAGTAAGCCAACATCAGCAATCTCAACCACAGCAGGCTCAGACTCTTCGAATGGTCACCGCTCAACTTGCGGGAAAACCTATCGTATTAGCTAGCGGTAATAAGAATGTCGGTGTTGCGGTGAGCACCAGTGGTGGAAATGTAGTATTAGGCAAGCAATCAACCTCCCAACCACAGCAGCAACAGCAACAGCAGCAGCAACAGCAGCAACAACAACAACAACAAACGCAACAACCGATTATTTTGCCAAGTCAGTTGCTTAATATTAAAACATTGCACGGGCTCAAAGTAATCCCTACTCCAACCGGACTAAAAGCCACGAGTGGTGCTGTATACGCACGAGTTATCGCTCCTACGACGATAGCCTCCACACAAGCTATATCAAATCAGCAACAGACTCTTCAAACGCAATCGCCGAGAAATACTTCGTACAACACACCTTGATAAGATTGAGTTGTTCACCTATGTTTATACCTAATCTAGCTGTTTTTTTTTACTGTATGTTACACAATCACATATTTTGAATTGAAAACGCTTTAAAAGGTCTCATTATATATATATATATATATATATATATATATATATATATATATATTTCAATAAATATAATATTGCACGATTACACATTACATTTTAGTTTGATAACTGTACTATGTAATATCCATAAGATTAAACATAATAAAAAGAAATATAGTAAAAATATATAGTAAAAATATATATCAGTAAAGATTAATGCTCATAAATTATTAATTAATTAAATTAATATTAATAAAATTGACTTTTGTAGTATTCACATGCGTATCAGTGAATTCTTGAATTATAATATAAGAAGCAAGAAAAATAGTGAAATTTTACAACTTTCGGATGAATCATTTTTTCAGATTTTCTTGTTTAATAAAATGCACTTATATAAACAGATTTTGTTTTTTTAATTATCTAATATGTGTTTATAAAGGAAATATTTGATTTTTAATCAATTAAATGATTCATTGTATGGTGTATATGTGTGTGTATATGAATGAATGTGTCCAATTGATATTTGTATTCAATATGAATAATAATAATAATAATTTGTAGTACATCTTAATGTTTTAATTACTTATTATATATTGCTTATTACCTATTGTAAATTTATACAAAATATTATTTGATGTGCATTGTGCACATTAATGCATCTATTCGAATTTCTTATAAATTTAAGATATAATTACTTTAGAAAGAGATTTTTAGATGTAGAAACTTTTAAATGAGAACACTATATATAAAAATATTTCAATAATAACAATATGTACCTGTCCAGTTAGTATATAGTATATTCAATATAAAACGATTGCTCCTCAATTGCTTTGCATTGATCCATCGTTATAATAATAATTATTATAATAAATATAATAATTATTATAATAATAATAATTATTATAATAATAAATATAATTAATAATTATTGCATTTTTTAATTGAAAATTATCAAATTAATTTTTTTAAATTTAGAGTATAAAAGAAAGCCTGGGGGTTACCCATCCAGCTATTATACATTTGTTAACGATAATTTTCGGTAATTATATCCAACATAAAATCATTATTTTAAGAACTGTTGCATTTTTTTAAATCAAAAATTAACTAAAATTAATTTAAAAAAAAATCATTTCACAAAATAATTTATTTGTTAATTTTTGATTAAAAAATGCAATAATTATTAATTATAACAATAGAGCAATATAAAATAATTAAGTAGCAATTGTTTTATATTGGATTTAATTGCCGAAAATTATTTAAACATTTAGATTCGATAAGTGGCCGATAGGTGGCGCTATCGTCATTTGTGAAGCAAAGTCACTAGAATTATCGGGTGGCACCCGATTGACTACGTCGCCAATTGGCTAATTCAAAATAGGACTCTCTGATTGGTTAATCGTTGCTGGTTACCCTAGGCACAGATCGATATAATTGGCTGTGGTCAATTACAACGTGGTCAAACGGGACGCTCCCGAATTATCTAATGACTTTATTGTGAAGTGATTTATTTGTTAATTTTCGAAAATAAAATGCAATAATCGTTAAACTAATGATGGAGCAATTAAAGAGCAATCGTTTTATACCGGATATAATTGTCGAGAAGCATTAAAAATATTTTTCGGAAAAGATGGTTAATTTTATGTTTTTTGCAAATATTAAAAAAATTATTAATTTTAGAAGGGAAGCAATTAAGGAGCAATCGATTGGGCTATAGTTTATTTATATTTTTTATTTATATTTTTATGAAAAAATATAAACTTCCAGCGCCAACTTATTTCTGGTTTACCCAACCTAAAATAAAAGCGGGCATGGTGTCGGTCATTCTTCATCTCTGACGAAGACGACTCTGCACAATCAATGTTGAAAGCATCGAGTATTGTGTGTTGTGATAGCGAGATAGTAGAACGATTTATGCTTATCGAATTCGCTAAACGCCGGCTTTAAAAATGCCAAAACGCCTTTGTCCCTTCGAAGCGGACTTGCTACCGCAGGTGAAAGTGCACGTCGGACAGAAACAGGTAAATAACGGCGTGTCGAGAGACGAACGGATGAAGGATGTCTACGGTAAGATCATGTTTGTTTTATTCTCATTAATTCTGCATCTATTCTTACATTTTTCTCTATATTAAAAAAAAATCTCTACTTGTCATTCTTGACAATAATGCACCTTGTTGCTCCAATATTTTGTTGTTATTAAATTTTTTTAATTTTTTTATTATATTTATATTATTTATATTATATTATATTTATATTATATTATATTTATATTATTTATATTATTATATTTATTATATTTATATTTATTATATTTTATTATATCTATATTTATATTATTATATTATATTATTATATTTATATTTTTATCAGAGTTGGGTAATAACTAGTTGATTAGTTAAAAGTTAAAAAAAAAAGTTGAAAAGTTAATAATTTTTAACTCAACTTAGTTATTTTAAAAAGAATTATCTTTTAACTTTAACTAGTTATTTTTAAAACACATAAACTTAAATTTATTAACTTTCCCCTTCAAATTTATTTGATGATTCATATTATTATTATTTAGAGTAATCTAATTTTAAACTTACAATCTAATTTAATATAAATAATGCTTGAAATAATGCGTGAAATAATGCTTTTCAAAATTTTAACTTTTATCTTAACTAACATTAATCTCATCTTAACGTAATTTTTATTGAGTTAATTTTTTATTTGTATAACTTTTAACATAACTAAATTAATTTTTTAACCTATTAATTTTAACTTAATTTAATTTAAAAAAAATATAAACTTATCCAACTCTGATTTTTATTATATTTATTATTTTATTATTTTTTTTTATATATTTATTTAATTTTTGTTCTTATTAAATTTTTTAGATAAGACCTTGGCCCTGCTAAGGACAGGTGCAAAGGCGCTCTCCCACAAATTGAATGTATCTGCGCAAATGGATTTTATAGATCTACCCCCACTGTCGCCTTGTAAATTAAAATCAACGTCCAATCTAAAACAGATGCTACTAACCGACAAATTAGAACTGAAATTAAGCGATAAAATTATTAATGTGAGTTGTATATGACTACTGTAACTTGACTTGATTCTGCATGATTCTGCAACATTCTTTCTTCTAGAATATCCAAGTGGATCTTTGTGGATGCTGTCGACTGATAGATCAATCTACAATAAGCAAATGCTATTACTGTGATCAGACATTATGTTCTTCTTGTCTGTCTGCATGTACTGGCTGTTCAGAAATGTTCTGTCAGAATTGCTCTCTACCTATGTAAGTTACAAGTCACGTTGTTGTTAAAGGTTTAAATATGCATGAAATTTATAACTGAATTTTTATTTCAGATATAATCGCGAAGAGCAAATCATGTGTCTTAATTGCTACCAATAGTTATCAGAAAATATTTTCTTTTGAAAAAGCTCTTTGCAAATATCTGATACTTTTATAATTTTAACAATTTCTTATGTAATTTTGTATAGATATATGTGTATAAATTATTTATTTGAATCACATGCTGTTAATAGTAACCAAATATGGAGAATTTTATAATTATCGCAAAATTTTGCACAAACATACACAGTATTAAATTATTATAAAATGTTTCATAGATGAGTTGTTTTATATTTTAATTTAATTTTTTTAGCTATATAAAATATTCTATATTTACGTATGTATGTATTATATGAAAATATTAACAAGGATGTAAAATTAAGATATTAAATATATTTGAAGAAAACATTTCTATAATTCATTGATTTTTATTTCGACATAATACTAGAAAGTCTTTATATACAGGGTGTTTCAGACCACCCGTACCATCCATTTAAAAACTAAAGAAGTGGTTATTTCAAAAAAGTAAAAACATTTTCTTTATAAATCGGATGCGCTTTATCGAATGGTGATATTTTCAACTTCTGGTTCCGGCCGGAAATAGGCGATTCAGACCGGAAGTGCATTTTTCAAAAAAGGAACCTCCTATTTTTCATTGCATATTCTTGTAGCTTACCTTGAGAGCTTTCCAAAACACTAATTATTTTTCCATGAAGTACCTTTCGAATTATGAGGCTTGAAATCATTTCTTAATTTTACATACACCATAAAATATCTTGTAAAATATTCATTTTTCGATTATCTTATCTTAATACTTTTATGTACAAAATAATAAGAGGAACCAATTGGTGTAAAGAAAACATACAGTTGTTTTTAAGAAAAAATATGGAATTGTTAATTGCAAATTACATATTTTTTCTTAGAAACAACTGTATGTTTTCTTTACACCAATTGATTCCTCTCATTATTTTGTACATAAAAGTATTAAGGTAAGATAATCGAAAAATGAATACTTTACAAGATATTTTATGGTTTATGTAAAATTAAGAAATGATTTCAAGCCTCATAACTCAAAAAGTACTTGAGGGAAAAATAATTTATTATAGTGTTTTGGAAAGCTCTCGAGGTAAGCTACAAGAATATGCAATGAAAAATAGGGCCATTCCATTTAAAAAAATGCACTTCCGGTCTGAATCGTTTATTTCTGGCCGGAACCAGAAGTTGGAGATATCACCATTCGATCGAGCGCACCCGATTTAAAAAGAAAATGTTTTTACTTTTTTGAAATAACCACTTTTCTAGTTTTTAAATGGGTGATACGGGTGGTCTGAAACACCCTGTATATAATAAAATTAATTACAAGATAAATATTTTATTTTAAATGAAATTGTCATACTGATGTAATAACGTGCATTGAAATTAGGAAAAAATGTATAACCTATTTCTTTTATCTTCTCATTATTGAAAATATTTAGCTTTTTTGTTTTTCAACTAAAATGAAAACAAACATCGATTATGTATATGAAAGATTTTGTTAAATTGAAAAGAGCGCGTTTTTATTGTCCAATAAAATCGGGATCATTCTTGGCGATTTTATTGGACAGCATTTGGCACACTATTGTCGACACCATCGACAAACAAAGATCGAAATTTCAAATTTCTCCAATGATAAAGATATTATGGTTTGATCGAATTAAAGGCGTTAACATTTTTGGTTAACATTCTTGCGACATATTTAACAAAGAACGTGAGAACATTTTATTAGGAAGCTCTTTCTCGGCTCTCGAGTTAAAGTATTTCGTAAAATATATCAAGATATTTCAACAAAATTTCCTTCGACTATGATGGAAAATCAAGGTACGTAGTTATATCGGAAAATAAGCACGAGGGCCACGTAAAGTAAATAAATTGCACGATTAAGCAATTTCTTTATTTTGCTTATGACTTTTCTATTGTCTTGAAAAATGATAAAAATTAATTACGCAAAGTTTATTAATTAATTACACACAAAAAAATTAATTACACAAAGTTTTATTCTCGAATTAAATTGAGTAACGATTAATAGAATGTGAATTTCTTGAAATTATTTATTTAGATAATGATATATTTTTTTACCTATTTGTGATATTTTGTTGATTTTTATTGAATTATTAATAAATATGAGATATTTCTTCTTTCAGATTTGATAACTGATGAAATCGTAAAAGTAGAACACAAAATGGACAAGTGTGTTTCAATGATACAACCTGCTGATGCTGATGGTAATAATGTATATTCACCAAATATGTTGAATTCCACAAATCCAGAAAATGAGGCTGTTCAAAGTTGCGATAAAAAAGTACATTATGAAGAAAGATATGTCTCTGTTGGGAATGAAGCGCATGAATGTGATGAAGTTATAGCGGATAAAATGATAGAAGAACACAAAAAGATGAACATGGAAGTAAACAGTAAAAGAATTAGAAGAAGTAATCGTTTATCAGTAAATGATAAGAAAGAAAATTTGAAAACAACTATCAGCGGTAAGGTACTAAAGCAGAAGAAGACAACAAAGAAATCAAATAAAATGGCACAGACTACGATACCAAATGAGGTATTAGCAATGTTATACAAGAAGTTTGAACCTCAAAGATATGAAAACACAATGTTACCACCATTTAGGTACATTATGCCTAATAATGCTAACAATGCATTGCAATATATTCCATATAGAATAGCAAAACAAGAAGAATCACATTACAATTTAAATAATAATAGAAATATGTTGCAGTATCCAGATTACAATAATTTGAGATCTGAGAAACAACCAATTTTGATGAACCCTAACTCTTGGCCCATTGTGTCAAAAAGTGGTCATAATTTCATAAACAATAATACGCAAAATCAAGTAGAACAATCTGGTTTCATTAATGATAAGCAATATCATAATTCATACACTGCTGATTACAATTTGAAACAAAGTGAAAATCCATACTTTCAGCCTTCGATTAAATCTACAGATTCCCAGAAATTACTCGGTATGGAAAATAAAGTTTTTCATTGTTCGTGCAATGTCTGTACGAGCAATATGTGGAACAACATGCATGCATGCGGCGAAGTTTTTCCAAAAATGAACAATGCATTTCAACAAATAGTTAACAACAACACTTTAAGTTATATTCCATTAGCTGCGACTTCTAATAATGCTTGGAACACTACAGTAGGATCTTTCAATTACTTTCCTCCTAATTATCAACCATTACAAGCAGATTACAATTTTAAGAGATTATTTTATAGCGGTTTCAATACAATAAATAATGCAACTAACAATGGATACAACGTGATGGCAAGGAGAAATATAATGTCCCCATTAAATAACTGGAATACTCATATTAATCACTTGACGATTCCATGTAATAACAATACAAATATTGCTTTGAACGCGTCTGTGCCATCTGAACCACTATCGTCGTCTTCTCTTTATACAGGCAATACTAGCACACAATTTAGTAACTATTATAATAAAGATTTGGCAAAAGTGAACATGTCTGTGGATCAGTACAAGGAAAAAGATCATTTCAATCCATCTGCAATATCTGCCTTTGAAAACTCAGTACCTACTGATATGCATGGATTGGATTCTGAGTCAACAAATACTTTATCGCATGATACATCCAATGGAAACGATATAATATATGATATTACAAATTTTGTTCCTGAAACAAATACAGCCAATACATCTGAAGAATCTCAATCTTACTCGTATATTAAGGAGATGGACAAAAATTGGTCATCAAACATATCTAATATTTAAAAAAATATATATTTAATGTTATTTGCAGATTAAATTAGCAGTAGTAATTTTACACAAAGATGTGATATACTAATTTGTAGGCATTCTTTTTTTTTAATACTATATATCTTTCAGAAAACTCTTTTATATGTTTTTTGTTAAAAATATTTTGATATAGTAATGTTTGACGTTTTGATATATATATATTTTTTTGTTTTTTATTTCAAAATGCTTTTATTAATGTATACATAATAATTTGTGTTAAAAGAGATTTTTGTTTTTAATATACAAACTTACATTTTTTAGATATTTGACGTACATTATATAATACATTAAGTATTTAAAAAAAAAATAAATACGTTCAAATATATAATATATTATATCTCATGCGTTTTTTTTTCTTTCATTTAATGGCATTGCAATTATAGTCTAATTACTTTTGTATTTTTAATATCATTACACTTACACATTTAGTCCATTCATCATTATATTTACATTTTTAGTTTAATGCAAATTGATTTAAGTATGAAACATTTCTAAAGTGACAAAAGAACTAACATGTATAATTGAAAACATAAATATGACAAATTATAATAAACAAATATTATACTTTCTTTAATGTATAAAATGTATGATTTCCCTTTCCTGCTATTTAAATTAAGTACACCTGTATGCAGTACATATCAAAAAGTACTGGTATAAGACTTATACTTGTTAATTGTAATAAAAAAACAATATTATAAAAAACTTGTTAAATTAAATTCTATTCTTTTTTACGCTTAATATACAAAGTCTATTTAAAAATATATTAATCTATGTGTGAACGACGAAGCAACAAAGTCTTGTACCAGTTAATAGTATCATTTTTGATAACTTTTATGTCTAATATACGGTAGATAAAAATTATTTATATTATAAATATAAATAATAGAATTATTAGTTGACTATAGTTAACTTCTTACAGTTAATTGTAAAAGATATTAAAAATATAGATAATTTCTTATTAATTTACTATGAAATATAAGTCGCTGGAAGAAACATGTTTGTCATATATGTAGCCCTGCAAGATTCATACAGGAGTCATATCTATAGAGTTTTTCGCATTTTTACGATAATGTGAAAAATTCATAGCCAAATCAATCTCGTCAACTTCTTCACCAAGAAGATGGCCTTCGGGATCGGATTTTGACTTTCCAAATATTCTGTAAACAAATTTCACGATGCAAGACAAAGTTTAATAATTTTATGGACAACCTTTATGTTAGTTAATTGCTTCCGTTATTAGTGCATTAATAGTGCTTCACAGAAGTATTTTACAATAAATTAGTAATTTATAGGTCTTTTTTTGTTACAGAAATGTTATTTATTGCCTTCCAAGTGATTGTAAGTTAATATGTTAGTATGATATTTTTTATAAAAAATGTTTCACATTTCAATGAATCACTTATAAATTATCCTTCCCAGTGAAAAAATAACGAGATTAAATCTAAAATACATAAAAGTAAAATATTTCGCATGTGAAATATAATTATATTCTAATAAGCACAAGCAAAAGGCAACTTATTACATACATATCAACGCTAAAATAATTAGGATTAATGAAGCAATATTATATCTATCTGGAAATACACATGAGTATTTATTCATAAAATAATTGTACAATAAAATTGCATATTTATAATACATTATAGTACAACAGTTTAGCAAATATATTGCATTCGACAATCTATACATTTTATTATTTATTCATTATTTACAAAATGCTATGTAATAAAAATATATACATATATGTATGTATATAATATATACATATGTATGTATGTATATAATATATACATATGTATGTATGTGTATATATATATATATATATATATATATATATATATATATATTTTCTTGAATAATATGAATTTTTAATTTCAGTCTTATATTTTGTTGTCATAAATTAATATTACCGGAAGATAAGCAAAATTTTTTCGGAAAAAAATATCTGACAAATCATTATTACGATGACTAATAAGTTACTTTTATTACAACGCTAACAGAAATATTCTTTTCAACTAAGCAATAATTTAATAAACGATTACACATTATTTATATATATTTATTTATATAATATATAATACTATTTATATTTATTAATCCATTGAGAATAATACCTTTAAATCTTTATTATCGAATGCGAGTGACAACATGCGAAAAAAGAAAGAATTTATTTCAATATATTTGTTTCTTAAAAAAAAATATTTACATTGCTTGTACATCATAATTGAAAATGATATTAATAAAAAGGAGATTATGTATGAAATATATACATAAAACCTTTCAAAAACAATTATCAACATGTTTAAAAATAGATAAAATATAAAAAGAATCGCTTACCAAATGAACGTAATTAAATCAAATTATAAATGATATTTCAAGCATGTAATTATTGGTTAGTTACATTTGATTTAATTCTCCAGTGATGTTATTTGTATTAATATCTATGTGTGAGTGAACAATAAGGAAGAGCGTGTTATATTATCAAAAATAATTCTGGCGCTGTACAAGATTAGTATAAATAAATAATGTACTTTTTATTTGTTAAAATCAATTTGCAATTAGCTGTACATATATGCGTTAAGCGATAGAGTTATTATAGTCTTGCGAAACGCCTGAGAGTAACACATTCGTTTGCGCATACCTGGACAATGTGGACGTTGATCTGTTCATAACCGGTGCGACTGAATCGTCCAATCCCCGATGAAGTGATATTGTGTCTAAATCAATCATTCGCGCTGTGGAGTGGGCCTGTACAGCTGCTAGGTACTCTGCAGTTTCCAAGGTGGCTTTAGTAGGTTTCCGATAACTGTACAAAGAATCGGTATGCATTGAAATATATTTGAATCGATTATAAAATAGACAATGTCATTAAAGAATTTTATTTCAAATCGACAGTCAAAGATTCGCCAATACAGGATGGACCAAAAGTCTAGATACAGTCGAATATCTCGTATAGAATGCATTTTAGAACAAAATGCTTTAGACAAAAGTTGTAAGGATTAAAAAGATGTATTTAACTATAATATCCATTTGACATTGAATGGCATCGCCAAGGTCAGGGCAAGGTTAACTTGAATTTTTTAAATGGAACTCCCTATTTTTCATTACATAGTCTTGTAGCTTATCTTGAGAGCTTTCCAAAACACTATAATAAATTATTTTTCTCTCAAGTACTTTTTGAATTATAAGGCTTGAAATCATTTCTTAATTTTACATAAACCATAAAATATCTAGTAAAATATTCATTTTTCGATTATCTTACCTTAATACTTTTATGTACAAAATAATGAGAGGAATCAATTGGTCTAAAGAAAACATACAGTTGTTTTTAAGAAAAAATATGGAATTGTTAATTGCAAATTACATATTTTTTCTTCGAAACAATTATGTATTTTCTTTACACCAATTGATTCCTTTCATTATTTTGTACATAAAAGTATTAAGGTAAGATAATCGAAAAATGAATATTTTACTAGATATTTTATGGTTTATGTAAAATTAAGAAATTATTTCAAGCCTCATAACTCGAAAAGTATTCAATGAAGAAATACTTTATTATAGTGTTTTGGAAAGCTCTCGAGGTAAGTTACAAGACTATGCAATGAAAAATAGGGAGTTCCATTTAAAAAATTCAAGTTGATCTTGCCCTGACCTTGGCGACGCCACTCAATGTCAAATGGATATCACAGTTAAATACATCTTTTTAATCCTTACAACTTTTGTCTAAAGCATTTTGTCCTAAAATGCATTCTATACGAGATATTCGACTGTATCCAGATTTTTGGTCGACCCTGTATATCTACTTACAGTTTCAATAGTAAAGAACTTCCCACTACAGAAACTGAACTTAAAGCCATGGCGGCGGAAGACATCCACGGTTGGAGGAAGAGACCGATGGGACTAAATATTCCAGCGGCTATGGGAATCCCTAAGAGATTGTAGATACTTGCGAATAAGAAATTTAATCTTATTCTGTAGACCGTTCTCCGTGATAAATCCAAGCACGCGATTACATCCAGAAGATCGTTCTGCAATATAATGCGACATTATTTCTTTTGTACAACGATTAAAACGCATTATTTCTGCTTGTTGTATAATTACGCGCATCAGGACTACGTCGGCAGCCTCTACAGCAACATCGGTACCCGATGCGATAGCGATACCGACATCCGATTGAGCTAGAGCCGGACTGTCATTGACACCGTCTCCTACCATGGCGACTCTTAAACCTTGATCTTGTAGTCGTTGAATTTTAGCCACCTTGTGAGATGGTAAGACTTCGGCGAAAACTTTGCTGATGCCAACCTGTATATTTCCGAAAAGCAGAAGAAGCCGATAAACATGGATTTAGCCACGAAAATGAAGTCTTTTGTACGCAACAGAATTTCCTTAGTACCTGTCTAGCGATAGAAGCCGCGGTTTTCCTATTATCACCTGTCAAAAGAATCACTTGCAATCCCATTTTCTTTAAGGTATAGACCGCGAGATGCGCCTCGGGCTTCACAGTGTCGGCGACGCTGATCATGGCGATCAGAACATTATTTACAGCAACTAAGACGGCAGTATGTCCAAGATCCTCTTCGTTAATCATCCTCGCATCGATCTCTTGCGGAATATTGATTGCATTCCGGCGCATCCATTCCCGATTACCGATACAGACTTCATACATGTCATCGGCGATGTTCCGATCGCCTTGCGAGTCAGGATTTAACAGTAATTGCAGATCTAAATTTTGTCTCTCCCGCGTCGATTCGACAATCGGTATATTGTCGACAGGCACGTTATTGAGATTATATATCCCGGCCGGCGTATTGGTCGTCTGATTCACATAATTGATGATCTTCTCGGACTTTAGTGCATCGGACAGAGCGACATTCAGGTGGGACACCTTACACTTGAGACCACAGCCAGCAACCGCTTGAAAATTCGTGCACTGCCCAGTAGCATCTGATCCGATCGTATCTTTTACATAGCGTACGATTGCTTAAAAAAGAAAAAATAACAATTATTATCAATATAATTACATGTGATTCAATATAATTACATAGAAAATATAATAAACCATTTTAATCAATACACGCGAATATCTCAGAAACACTGCATTAAATCGAAAAATGTTTCAGACAAAAGTTGAAGGGGGACATAAGATGGTGCCATTAATTTGACTTCGAAGAGTCGCCTGAAAGTCACGTGAAGGTCACTTCCAACTTTTTAAATGGAACACCCTATATACTTTTGCATATTCTTGTAGCTTGCCTCAATAGCTTTCCAAAACATTATAATAAAGTATTTTTTCATTGAGTACTTTTCGAGTTATAAGGCTTCTTAATTATCTTAATTTTACATAAATCATAAAATATCTAGTAAAATATTCATTTTTCGATTATCTTACCTTAATACATTTATGCACAAAATAATGTGAGAAATCGATTAATGTAAAGACAAAACATAGTTATTTTTGAGAAAAAATATGTAATTATTAATTGCAAATTTCATATTTTTTTCTTTGAAACAACTATGTGTTTTCTTTACACCAATCGATTCCTCTCATTATTTTGTGCATAAATGTATTAAGGTAAGATAATCTAAAAATGAATATTTTACAAGATATTTTACGATTTATGTAAAATTAAGATATTATTTTAAATCTCATAACTCGAAAAGTACTCAATGAAAAAATACTTTATTATAGTGTTTTGGAAAGCTCTTGAGGCAAGCTACAAGAATATGCAAAAGTATATAGGGTGTCCCGTTTAAAAAGTTGGAGATGACCTTCACATGACCTTCAGATGATTCTTCGAGGTCAAATTAATGGCACCATCTTATGTCTCCCTTCAAGCCATACAACTTTTGTCTAAAACATTTTTCGATTTAATGCAGTGTTTCTGAGATATTCGCGTGTATTGATTAAAATGGTCTACCCTGTATACGATAAAATATGATAATAATATTTACCTGACGCAATAGGATGTTCGCTATTTATTTCTGCCGTGCCGATGATCAGTAAAAACTTTGCCAACGAGCAGATCTTCTCATTCACGAACAAACCGATCCTGGTGACAGTCGGCACACCGTGCGTCAACGTTCCTGTCTTGTCGAAGACAACACATTTAACTTTGTGCGCATTTTCCAACGGTTCGGCACCCTTGATCAAAATACCGTTCATCGCGCCTACTCCAGTACCAACCATAACCGCGGTTGGCGTGGCTAAGCCAAGTGCGCAAGGACAGGCAATTGCGAGCACTGCCAGGGCGCTTCGAAAAGCGTATTGAAGTATGATTTCTGTACGATTCCTGCCAGTCTTATTCATTTGATCGTTGTGCAACATGGGCAGTTGCTCGACATTCATGTAACCGATGATGATCCAGATTATCAGTGTCACTACGGAGACTAATATAACCACAGGTATAAAATAACCGGCTATCTTGTCGGCCAGCTGTTGGATTGGCGCTTTGTTTGTCTGCGCCTCCTCTACCAAGCGAACGATTTGCGCCAATGTCGTGTGTTCGCCTGTATGCGTAGCGGTGATCAATAGCGGTCCGTTTTGATTGATCGACCCGCCGATCACTACTGAACCCTTATTCTTTGGCACTGGCATACTCTCCCCCGTAATTAAACTCTCGTCACAGGTCGACTGACCAGACAGTACGCGGCCGTCAACAGGCACTTTGGCACCCTGAACCACCTTCAACACGTCGTTGCGTTGCACTAGATCGATGCTTATCAAACGCTCAGATAGTATTTCATTATTCGGACCAAGCGTAACTAATACAGCATCCGTGGCTTTCAAGGATAATAATTTTGAAAGAGCTTCGGATGTTTTCCCCTAAAAAACAAAGCATTCTTAATGTCGTGTATATCTTTTCGCAGAAGTGATTCGTTGAAAAGGTACCTTCGCCACATGCTCAAGCCATCTTCCTAGACTGATGAAGACTAGCAGCATCGGCGGAGTATCAAAGAACGTCTGTGGACTGACATTTTCTTGCATTATCATAGCGGCAGTTAGGACGGCGACAGAATAAAAGTAGGAGATCGTGGTGGTCATTGAGATCAAGACATCCATATTGGTTGTGCGGTGTTTTATAGCTTTGTAGGCTTGCACGTAAAAATGCCAGCCGCCAAAGAACTGCGCAAAGAAAGAAAATATAAGAAATAAATCTGCAGTCATGCATCCAGTGTTTGCTGGTATCTAGATAAAATTATCTAGATTTCTAGGTAATCATCTAAATAAAGAAATGGCTTATCTTTATCTTTAACTAGATGAAGAAATACAAAGTATTTTTATCTTTATCTTAGATGAAAAATATATGTCATCTTATCTAAAAATTGTCTAAGATGACGTTTTCATTATGCAAAAAAGTTTTCCAGGCATGCTTCTAAAAATCTATCTAAAATATATTTTTTATATTATTATTATTAATATATTATAAATATATTATATTATTAATATATTATAAATATATTATAAATATAAATTAATAAATTATAATAATAAATTATAATATATTATAAATATAAATTAATAAATAAATATTTATCATATCATTTATATACCTTTTTGCTATTATTTAAATTTTTTTTAGGAAAAAAGAGAGAATATGTGTTTATGATTTTAATATCCCATTTATAATCTGCGTCACATTTTTTACAAATATTTATAGATTTTAGAAGATATTTTTTAGAAGATATTTTTACAAATATCTTCTAAAATAAATAAAAATATCTAGATAATTATCTAGATTATCGCAATAATTATCTCATCTTTCATCTAGATTAAATAAAAGCAAAACCATCTTTATCTCATCTAAGATAAATTTACGGATTTTTATCTTTATCTAGATAATTTTGAAATTATCTACAGCAAACACTGCATGCATTATATAGCGGAATAAGCAGGAGATAAACAGTCTATCTTGCGCGTACCTGCACCGGTGTGGAGAACACGAAAAGTATAAAATTTTCCCAGGAGAGACCAGGTACTATGCAACACATTTCCTCGTGCGTTGTGTTGCCGATGGACATGCTTACCATGAAATACGTCATTGCTATCATGCACGGAACTCCGAAGATCAATGATATCAAGAAGGCCGTTCGCCATTTACTTATCTCTTCTCTGGAACACGAAAAATAATAATTCCAAAAAATTCCTATTCTGCAAGGAAGATACTTACGCATATCGTGAGAAAATTATCCTTACTTCTGGTCCAAGTAATCTCTATTCTCTTTATCTCGGTTGCTGAACAAATTGGCAGTGAAGCCTAATTTATTAATACTTTCAACAATATCCCTGACGCCGATCTTTTCCGCGTCGTACTTGAACTTTCCCCGTTGCGTCGCGAGAGCGACCACTGCCGATCGTATACCGGGTAATCTCTTCACGGTCGATTCTATTTTGTTTACGCATGATGCGCATGTCATACCCAAGATCTGAAATTAATTTGAACAGATCTTTTTTTTTATACTAATAGAAATACATTTAAAAATAATAACGCAAGCGGAACATTTCCAAAATATAAACTATGTATATAAAGATAATATATTGCGATTTTTAATCATCTAATCGACAATCTAACACAATTTTCGATATACAGAGTAGGCCATTTTAATCTACGCACTGAAATATCTCAAAATCCATAAGTTTAAGACAAAAATGTTTCAGACAAAAGTTGTATGGCTTGAAGGGAGACATAAGATGGTGCTGTTACGCCCGCGGCGAGGACTTCGATTAATATCGAAGACGCGCGTGAAGAAATCGGCCGCTCGCGAGTCGCGCGAAATGAATAGACACTTTTAAAAGGAACTAGAAACTTTAATACACAACACCACAACACAGAACACTACAAACGGTAACACAGAACGTAATGCACAATATTAGCAATTCGGCTCAGCACGATACAGAAACGCGTCCGCGCAGCTTGACAGCTGAAACCGAACTCAAATGACAGACGCTGCTGTCAACAACCTCTTGACAACGCGCTTCTTCTCGTTAATCGGCGCCGTCCCGATGAACACGGACATCAGAGCCGTAACAGTGCCATTAGTTTAACCTTGGAGAGTCATCTGAAGATTACGTGAAGATCACCTCCAACTTTTTAAACGGGACACCCTATATACTTTTATACATTCTTGTAGCTTGCCTCAAGAGCTTTCCAAAACGCTATAATAAAGTATTTTTTCATTGAGTACTTTCCGAGTTATGAGACTTAAAATTATTTCTTAATTTTACATAAACCATAAAATATCTAGAAAAATATTCATTTTTCGATTATCTTACCTTAATACTTTTATGTATAAAATAATGAGAGGAATCACTTGGTGTCAAGAAAACATAATTGTTTCGAAGAAAAAAATATGTAATTTGCAATTAACAATTACATATTTTTTCTTAAAAACAACTGTGTGTTTTCTTTACACCAATTGATTCCTCTCATTATTTTTTACATAAAAGTATTAAGGTAAGATAATAAAAAAATGAATCTTTTATTAGATATTTTATAGTTTATGTAAAATTGAAAAATTATTTCAAGCTTCATAATTAGGAAAGTATTCAATGAAGAAATACTTTATTATAATGTTATGGAAAGCTCTTGGAGGCAAGCTACAAGAATATGCAAAAGTATGTAGGATGTTCCATTTAAAAAGTTGGAGGTGACCTTCACGTGACCTTCAGATGACTCTCCAAAGTCAATCTAACCATCTTATGTCCCCCTTCAAGCAATATAACTTTTGTTTGAAACGTTTTTGTCTTAAACTTATGGATTTTGAGATATTTCAGTGCGTAGATTAAAATGACCTACACTGTATATACATATATATAAATCTATTAATACCAATCTAAAATTATAAGTCAATTATCTTACTTTCAATTCAATCTCGCCTTCTCCAGTCCCAGATTCTTCGATTAGAGTCGTAGGAAAGCCCAATTCCGATATACTGGAAGCAATATCCACCGCTCTTATTTTATCCGGATTGTACATGATTTCTGCTTTGGCGGCCATTAACGCTACCAATATGCTGTTTACACCATATAACTTTTTACAGTGCTTTTCTATCGCGGCGACGCAGGAAGCGCAAGTCATACCCTTTAATCGACAAACGAATCCATCATCCGTATAACTAACACGAAACGCTATATTGTTGTATGGGGAGTTTGAATAAATTAATTTAAAGTCGAAGAGTAAAGTATAACGTACCGTTATATGTAAGAAACACTTTGACAATTGTCCCTTGACGTCACCACCACCGTTAACTTGTATCAATTCCGTTTTTTTGTTATTATTTACAACAAGAGATTTCACAACTTTGCCGTCTATCTCCTTCACGTATGCGGTAAAGCCCATGTCTTCTATGTATGCTGCTACTTGATCGGCCGTTACATCGCTGCTGTAAGAGACCTTGGCTTCTTTATCCTCTAGACTAACATTGACGTCCCTTATATCGGGCTTTTCGGAGAGAACACCTACGGAATATATAAATTAGTCATAAATTTTAGTCATAAATTATAGTCCCATAATTCCCAAAATTATATAATAAATAAAAATAAAGTAGTAGATAAAAATAAGTAATAAATAAAAATAAGTAATAAATAAAAATAAAGTAATAAATAAAAATAAATTATGCAACAAATAAAAATAAAGTTTTAGATACATTCTTCCAAATCTACATCTCTTTCCAAACAAGAACAAGGAAATCCCATAATAAAATAATAAATAAAAATAAGTAATAAATAAAAATAAAAAAATAAATAAAAATAAATTATGCAACAAATAAAAATAAAGTTTTAGATACATTCTTCCAAATCTACATCTTTTTCCAAACAAGAACAAGGAAATCCCATAATTATATAATAATCCCATAATTATAAAATAAAAATAAGTAATAAATAAAAATAAGTAATAAATAAAAACAAGTAATAAATAAAAATAAAGTAATAAATAAAAATAAAGTAACAAATAAAAATAAAGTAATAAATAAAAATAAATTATGCAAGAAATAAAAATAAAGTTTTAGATACGCTCTTCGGTCATTGATGAACTCTGAAAGATCTCACGCATATTCACGGATTTATTTCTCTATTCTGTTCACTGACTCACCGGTGATGTTCTTAACGCACGACGAGCAAGTCATTCCGTCCACATGTATAATGCAAGACTTGGTGGCAGGTACTAAGGAGACGAGGGCATTCGTGGTTTCGTTCATCGTGACGTCGTCGGACATTGGTAGACTCGCGGTAAATCCCATGTCCTCGATCGCGTCCGCCAATTCTCGTGGCGTCGTCTCGCGCATCCTGTACTCGATGTAGCCGGCCATCTCCTCCAGGACAACCCTGATACTGATGACGCCCGATCGTTTGCCGATCATCCCCTCGATGTTCCTCACGCAACTCTGGCATGTCATGCCCTGGATACCGATTTTAACCACACCAGTCTCTTCCGCGGGATCCTCCCGTGCCATCAGATTCCCGTAGTCGATCTCATCATCGCTATCCCTTCAAAAATGTTTACAGATAATTCAGGCATTTGTTCGAACAGAAAATGTGCTCGATCTTAACATCACTTTCATGATGCAATGTATCTCGTAACTAAAATTCGATGCGATAAATGAAATAATAATAATAAAAATAATAATAATATGATAAATGAAAATGATAAAATAAATAATAATAATAATAATAATAATAATAATAATATGATAAATGAAAATGATAAAATAAATAATAATAATAATAATAATATGATAAATGAAAATGATAAAAATGCCAATTAATATAATAATAACTAAATTTCATCTATTTTTACACAGAAATATTTTTAAACATAATTTCTCCTAAGAATAACATTTTACTGCTGTAATAAATTAATCATGTGGCGTTGTAAAAAGATACAGATCATAACTTATCTTAAATTTAGAGACTGAATAAAGAGGCAGAGAGAGTTTAAAGTTTATCGACTTCGTGTTGATAAACTATACCCATCAAAGCAGTGATATTTTATATATTTAAATATTTTTTCGCAATATAATTAGATCTCACATCCAATAAGATGACAATAGAACAACTACAATATCTATTTGCAAGATTTTATTATCGCAAAATAAATTATTACGATGATTTTCATAGTATTTAAAAGCGAATAACGCTTTGTTTACAACAATAATCTCTTTCATAAATTCATGCAATACACATTTAACGCAATAAGCTGCTAGAGTAGTATCATATTCATTATTTCTCGAATAAAAAGAAAGTAGATAAAAATATTACACATTCAGAGATTTGATAAATTAATAATGTGCCATTAATTATGCATCATTCCTGCGAAGTTCATTAAATAACATCATATATGTTACACACAACATCATATCTGTCATATGTATAACATATATGCAAAGGACAGAAAAACTAATAACTGAAAAACTAATAATTAAAATATTATATATTATATATATTTATATATTATATATATTTATATATATTATACATATTTATAAAATATTATATATATTATCTATTTGAAATTAAAATATAGCCAAAGTATTATAAGTTATCCATTTGAAGTTAAAATAAAGCCAAAAAAATGTTTTGAGATGTAATTTATTCATTTCTTTTCTGAATAAAATAAAAAGATTAATATCTTTCGTCTTTGATTTAATTATACTTTCCAAAACTTGAATCGTGTATCATTATCTTATGTTAATGTCAAAGAAAATGCAACTAAAAGTTATTTTCAAAAGCATTAATCAAAATCATAGATCTGTCCGATTTTCTATTCTTTTTTCGAGATTGAATCTGGATAAGACAGAATTTAAAAAAATCACAGATATTTCTGTTTAATGTCTGAAGTTTTATAAATAAAAAATCTGAAAATATGGACATCAAGTCCTCCTAAAAGTATATAACATTGCAGTCCTTCATGAAGCCTTACCAGATGAAATCGATAGAGCCATAATTTTTATGAAGAAGGAGCAGTTTATCCTCTTCTTTCATCATTCAAAAAATTAAAATTTCTCGAAAGATATTGAAAACCGCGTTACGTGGTTCTTTATCTCAATTCCGACCTTTGTCAATTATCTATCATTTCTTATCAACAAAGCACAATATAGATAAGCGAAAATATTTTTGTGAAGAACAGACTTGTATTTTTAAAAACAATACAAGTTTTATTATGTCAATTATAATCGACAATTATAAATAATAGTAATACGATCGGTAATAAATCGCAATTAATTCTGAGGAGAATTCAAGATATCAAAATTCGAGGTTTCGATAAATTTCTGGAAAATTATTATCTAGGAAGATTATATCTTGGAGAATAATTATTTCGACAAATTTCTATTCATGCAATATTATCGCAATATTATATTAAGGGATATTTTGACTAATAATTGCATGAAAAAGCACGAGTTTTCGTGACGTCGAGATACTCAGAGGATATTTTAATCGACGCGTTGCGATAAGAGAATCGCGATATCGAGTCGTGATTTCTATTTAAATCACCATTAGGCACCGGATTGCTCGTGAATCGTCATTTATCACGAAGAGAGAGAGAGGCTGTAAGTATAACGTCAAACTACTGTCCATTTATTTATCAAAATTACGTATATTGCGCGATTGTTATCTTTGATGATTTTTATGATGCGAAAAAAATCCCTCGTTGATTTCCACGATTGGACGAGAATCTAGTTTCTGAAGGTGCTTTACGACGACAGTGGGGAAAACACGACACCAAAATATACACATCATACTCTCGATAATATCTCCGAACGACTGATAACTCCTCTGATAATCGCTATCCCACGATTCGCTAGTTGCTCACGGTGCTCTCTTTTTGCTCACGGCACTTCTTTTGCCGAGAATATAAAAGGAGTCGAACAATCGAGCTGGTACGCGATTATGCTACATTGAAGTATAGCGAGGCTCCTTGGGCAATCTTGCAAAATGCTCATGTTTATTGCAAAAAATATTCATCTAATATATAAGTTCGTGTGAATACTATGTATGTATATATATATATATATATATATATATATATATATATATGTATATATATATATATATATATATATATATACATACATATATATATATATATATATATATATATATATATATATATATATATATACAGGGTGTCCCAAAAGTCCCGGACCGGTCGAATATTTCATAAACTATGCACTTTAGAAAGAAATGTTTCAGACAAAAGTTGTATGGCTTGAAGGGAGTCATCAGATAGTGACAATGATTTGACATGGGAGAGTCATTTGAAAGTCACGTGAAGATCACCGTCAATTTCTTAAATGGAACTCCCTATTTTTTATTACATATTCGTGTAGCTTATCTCGAGAGCTTTCCAAAACACTATAATTAAGTTAGTTTTCATTAAGTACTTTCCGAATTATGAGGCTTGAAATCATTTCTTAATTTTACATAAATCGTAAAACATCTTGTAAAATATTCTTTTTTCGATTATCTTACCTTAATACTTTTATGTACAAAATAATGAGAGAAATCAATTGGTGTAAAGAAAACAGTTGTTTTTAAGAAAAAATATGGAACTGTTAATTGCAAATTACATATTTTTTCTTAGAAACAATTATGTGTTTTCTTTACACCAATTGATTCCTCTCATTATTTTGTACATAAAAGTATTAAGGTAAGATAATCGAAAAATGAATATTTTATAAGATTTTATGGTTTATGTAAAATTAAGAAATGATTTCAAGCCTCATAACTCAAAAAGTACTTGATAGAAAAATAATTTATTATAGTGTTTTGGAAAGCTGTCGAGATGAGCTACAAGAATGTGTAATAAAAAAATAGGCGGTTCCATTTAAAAAATTGAAGGTGATCTTCACGTAATCTTCAAACGACTTTTCAAGGTCAAACCAATGACATCATCTTATGGTCCCCTTCAAGCCATACAACTTTTGTTGGAGGCATTTTCCGTTATCGCCCCTATCTGAAGAGATATTCCCATGGACGGATTAAAATAGCCCACCCTGTATATACATACATATTGTATTATTTTATACATACATATTGTATTATTTTATTATTTACATATAAGTTTCTCGATATACATGATAATAATATATTTAGAATAAGATGTTGCTCATATGGCATATATTAATCATAATTCATCATAATTATCATCAAGCATGTCAAATTTTCATGCATTCAAATTTGTAATTTTAATGATAAATAAATTATCAATCATTTATCAATTATATAATATGATAATATTTATTGTATAATAATATTCATTCATAAGTATTTATCATTTTATAATAAAGTAAATTCGAAAGATAAGGACGTTCGTTATTTCTTTACGTTGCATCGTTATTTTTCTATATTAGAGAAAATATTATAGTAAAATTTGTGCATGCTAACATATGAGAGAAATTACAATACTTTTACTCAATAATATTAATCATACGCATTACATATTTCACAAAAAAATATTGTAATTATTCAAATATTTTGATGCACAAACAAACGCATAATTGTTAACAAACAATAAAAAAAAGATACTTTACAATTTTTATAATAATAAATATCTTAATATCATTCTAGCTTTACTAGCATAAATATGGAAAAGAATGTCTTTTTATAAACTGTAATTTATATTGCAAAAGTATTTCCGTACAAGCATGCTTTGTTAATCCTTGAACGACAATACGGCATCTTATCATGACGAAAGCTTAAACACAGAATGCATATGCAATAAATGAAGCATTTTCAAAAAAGTCGACAATTAATATACTGAGATAAAGCAAAACTACTCGGGTTATTTTGCGTTGCAAAATATTGCAAAACAACATTGATCGCTCATATACAGACCGTGTATAAAGATTTTGTATATACTAATCATACGGAATTGCCGATCTTAATTTTAATGTGAAAGTTACTGCGATTCAAGTAAAAGATTTTCACGCTTTCTGCTCATGATGAACTTTCATCTAGCAAGTTCGACGCATACCTACGCATGTATTATGCGTAGAATAGATAGTGCAAAATGTACAAAAAAAACTAATGATATTAGTCATTAAGTCAAAATATATACATGATACATATACATGATTTGAAGATTCATACTTTTTTTTGAAAATTTTTCTGCGAAAATATATGTAATAAAATTAAAAAATCAAGAAACTTAGCTTTTCGAAAAACGGTTTTAAAAGAAATATAATTAATTTAAATATATTTTACAATATTTTATAGTTAATTTAAATATATTTTACAATATTTTATAATTAATTTAAATATATTTTACAATATTTTATAATTAATTTAAATATATTTTACAATATTTTATAATTAATTTAAATATATTTTTAAATATATTTAAATATATTTTTTAAATATATTTTACTCTTACAAATAATAATACTGACCCAAGCAGCCTAATATTTTCGCGCAATCTCGAGCTCATATAGTTAGCCACAGAAATATCCATCAAATCGTGATACGTCAGCTTCACCCGATGGACCAAT